ATCCTCTACCAGAGGCCTGGGAGTTTGAGGGTTCTGCGCAGTATCTTAGCTGCTCCTAGCACTGTACTCTCCTGGACAGAGAGCTCTGGTGTGTATGTGTGTGAGGTGCATGTATATAAAAAATCCCTTGATAGGGCTAATTAAGATATTTATTTCAGTGATGACCAAGGATTAAAAGTGGCCACTAATTAAAAATAGTATTTCAAAAAGTCAAAAAACAAAAAAGTCAGCCCCAAAAGTTCTTTTCACCCCATGAACGGGCTGTGATAGAACTTTTAGACAAAGCATTTCTTGCTCCTGGGTGCACCACGTACTCCACCGTCTCCATGAGCAGTGGTGGACATTTCCATCCTGGCGACAGAGCCGCACCTGAACTTAGCACCCGTATTTGTGAACTCCAAGCCCCTCGCCGTATCTCCGCCATCCGCTACCCAAGGCCACCACTTTGCTTTACCTCATGCAAGGCGGTTTAACAAAACAATGACAAATCTTATACTGTATCTATTTAGGAGAAAAAAAATTACACATTAACGACTGGCAAATTTTGCAGCCAGCAAAATTCCAAACGACATACTAATAAACCTGCAGGTGTCAAGCAGGTATAGGAACAGATATTCCTTTCTTGAGCATTCCTTCAGGAAGCAGAACATCCTGGGCCATTTCTGTACCCAAACAGACCAATGCTGCGGCTTTAATTATTACATCAGAAATTCTACAGCTGAATTTCAGTACCTATTAAAGCGCTACAGGGGCAGAAAAGCAGGATGGAAACTATGTAAATTTTTTAAAAATGCTTTAGCCCTGGATCCCATGAAAAGCCTGTATCCACCATTTGGGAAGTTCATACAGTACTGTAATTCCTCCCCTGCCTCACCTCTTGCGCCGTAGGAGCCTTTGCCCTCCGCCGCCTCGCCCCCGCCCCTTTTCCTAGATCAGGAGCTATTCAGAGCTGCTTTGCCTCAGCACCCGTATGTCCTTATTCATTTTATTCTATTTATGGCTCTCATCAGCTCTTTTTGACAGGCAGCAGACAGAACTCCAACAGGGGAAGTACGTCGGCACGTGGATACACGGATGGGCTAAAAGAGAAGGGAGCTTTATTTTGCAACAATTAGCTTTCTAATCATGCAGCTGTCCTAGCCACATGGGCCGCTAATAATAATAAATAGCTAATATTAGCTAATAATGGTGGCTAATTTTTCTTTCTAACCCGCTCCCCCTCAGCGATCTGACCCCCGGACGAGGAAACTTTCTCTCCTTCAAGCCACCTCTGCGCTTCTTCGCCCTCGTTCCCAGCCTCCTACCCCGCGGAGCTTCTGCCCCGGTCCTTCGCCCGGGGACCGCTCCGGCTTCCGCCTTGCGCCGCTTCTGCCCTACGAGCGCAGGCTTACCGTTCTTGTGCACCCCGAGGTGTCGGCTCTGCCGTGGCACGGGGAGCCCAAATCCTGGCTCTCGGGCTATTTGCAAGCGTGGCCACGTTGCATCAGCCAACCCTCAGGGCGGGAAGGGGCGAGGCGGAACCAAGCCCAATCCCCGTCTCCGCCTCGCGCTGCGGGGAGGCGCGTTCTTTCCACCAACATCAGTGCTGCTCGTGTGTTTTAAAGGCGAAGCGGGGGACGATCTGGGTCCTAAATTTGAACTTCCCACGGAGACAGAACGCAGGGGGGGCTCCCGCCACAGTGTCGTTTGCTTGCTGATGGTTTAGGGTGGGGTGTCTGGTTCATAAGCCGCGGCTTAGCACGACGTGGGAATCAGTCCAAAAGCGTGGCAGCGACGTCCGCATCCTTCACACCGCCCTCCTTCTTATATCCATTCTGGATAAATGTGGTTACACCTAGCAGAGCCTCCGACAATCTTCTTCAACTTGGAGTCCTTCCGATTAGGGAGGATAGCAAATCTGGGCTGCGAATAACGCGACAAACGCTAGATGGTAGCAGTGGGATACTCAAAGCAGACATTTTGCTATCACCTAGTGGCAGCAACTAGTTTTGCAGCCTAAATCAGCCCTAAGTTTGAACGACCATCATCAGCTATAAACAGTATGAGTTATAGTTGGTTACGTAAGGAATTCTTTCAATATTTTTTCAGGGTTATATTTAACTTGCCTTCCACACAATCAGGTAATTCATTCCACTAGGAGTATCTGTTTTCTTGGAGCTTTTTTTTTTTTAAACAGACATGGTTAAAGAAAAGGAGAAAGGGGAAATGATTAAAAAAAGAGGAAAAGAAATACGCTATTTTGAAAGTAGTGAAGTGAAAAAGCAGCACTTCCTAATATGATACTCACTCTGTCAGTGGAATGCAACTGTCTGCACTGTATCCTGGTAGCTTTGCTATTAAGGGAAGACTCATATGTTTTGTTAGTATAAAATTAGGAAGCCTGCAAGGAAAATATATTTTTTTTTAGATCTTCTTATAAGGAAATTATGTTTACAAGGCAGACTTTTTTTTTTTAGATTTTTGTATCCCACCTTTTTTTTTATAAATAACTCAAGGCAGCAAACATACCTAATACTCCTTCCTCCTCCTATTTTCCTTTTTTTTTTAGATTTTTGTATCCCACCTTTTTTTTTATAAATAACTCAAGGCAGCAAACATACCTAATACTCCTTCCTCCTCCTATTTTCCTTTTTTTTTTAGATTTTTGTATCCCACCTTTTTTTTTATAAATAACTCAAGGCAGCAAACATACCTAATACTCCTTCCTCCTCCTATTTTCCCCACAACAACCCTGTGAGGTGGGCTGGGCTGGGCTGAGAGAGATGGACTTGCCCAAAGTCACCCAGCTGACTTTCATGCATAAGGTGGAACTGGAATTCACAGTCTCCTGCTTTCTAGCCTGGTGCCTTCACCACTAGACCAAACAGGCTCTCCTTCCGCTAAACCAAATTGACTTGTTGCTAATGGAACCACATTTATAGAATTAACTGAGTTAGCTAGGTACATACAACACAGAACCATAACTGAGCCATAGTTAACCATATGTAAGTTAGTGCACTGTGAAAAACTAATGTGGATTGAAAATCATAGTTTATATCACAGCATGATAATGAATACAGCCAATTGGGGCTAGGTGAAAACCATGGTTAAAAAATAGGTAGTCCAGATCCTGAGCTGCTGCATATAAGAATCACAGGGGAGAAAGAACTTTCCTAAATTGTAAGATACTAATATTAGCCAGTAACAAATCAAACAATAATTTATTAAACTTGTATGCCACCTGACCCTCAACAACTCTGGGCAACTCACAACAATCAAACAAAAAAATTACAATAAAATCAATTTAAAAATTTAATTTAATTTTTTAGGTTGTGTTATTCACACAATGCAGGACGCTGTAAATCAAACAAGTCCCCTTACGATTTAGGACAGGATTATACAAACTGTTGGGGTTTTTTTAGTGGGGGAGCTGCACATCCTCTTTTTGTCTTGCTTAGAGGCTATAGAAGGCATGAAATTGTGGGATTTGAGGGGGCAACTTTATGTATTCTATTAATATCTGGTCTGTGTTCTGCACACCAGCCCTGTGAGTAGGCTATGTTGAGTTCAAAGTCATCCAATGCCTGGGGATGGACTGAAAACCCAGGTTTTACCAATCCTAATCCAATCCCTTAACCACCGTACCACACCTTGTTCCTAGCACCTTCCCAAGGCTTCACTTGCCCATTTTGCCCCTAAAATTTCCCAACATTATTGGCCCAATTTGGGGGGGTTAGGATTTTAAGTCATACATTCAGTCCCTGAAGCCTCTTCAAAGCTTGATACCTATTTAGCCTTTAAACCCATCAAACTCCCCAAAATGAAAAAGGATCTGAAATCCACCCCCCCAAATATGGGGTATAAATGGGAAGCGGGACCCTGCATGAGACCCACAGCTCATTAGTCGCTCAGTTTAAGGCTAGCAAAGGTTGTGAACCTGTAGCTACCTAGTTCCCAAAACTAGTCAAGATATTTTGATACCTATCGGGAGAACCCGCTCCCCCCCAGGTTACCCCCCCCGGTTCCCCCCCCAACAATGACATTCTGATAGTAACTCAAACTGCTAAGCATATGCTGCTAATTTCCCACAACTACCATTTCCTTGCCTCCAAGAAAAGATCATGGGCTCAGCAGTTTAGTGTCTGTGGCAAATCCAGAGATCCAGTTTGCTGTAGTGGTTAAGGTGTTGGCCAAGAATCCAGGAGACTGTGAGTTCTAGTCTCGCTTTAGGCATGAAAAACTGGCTGGATGACTTTGGGCCAATCACTCTCTCTCAGCCTAGCCTACCTCACAGGGTTGTTGTTGTAGGGAAAATAGGAGGAGGAAGGAGTATTGGTATGTTCACTGCCTTGAATTGTATATGAAAAAAAATGCAGGATAAAAATCTAAAAAAAAAAATCCTTTCATTAATCCAAGTTTAGATTTCTGAGTACCCTAAATTAATACAACAGCGTTTTACCAGAGATTATAGCAGACCCAGACATGGATTTTGAAAGAAAAAAATAGTCTTCTGTTTGTGTTAGAAAATGTGAAATTAAACTATGTTCATAGCAGATTATGCTTCTGTCAGCCAAGGGAGAAGCAATGAAATATTGTAGTTACATTTAGGCACTTATTTGATTCAGTTTAAAAGGTTATGGATGTTTTCATTTTTAACTATCTTGTTCTTAGTCATCCAGTTTTCAAACCTTTGCCCCAGTTTCTCTGAGAGTACAAAGTTATACTGAGTATAAATGAAATCATTCTGAATACAAGCAAATGGATTTGTTGTTTGCTTAGTAGAGCCGTGAACTCCTGGCTGAGTCTGCACAATATGATATAACCATAGTTTACTGCACAACATAAACCATGATTTAACCATAGTTCTGAGTTAGTCCAGTACTTCATAGCTTTGGTTAATTTCAAAATGCTACTCAGGGTCAGATGTAGATTAGTTTTTGGATGGAAAACCAGAAGAAAATCCCAGGATTGTAGGCTAGGCTGAAAAGTCAGAAAAATCGACTTGAAAAAAGGTAATGGCAAATTACCTTTGACCTGTGGCTGAAAGAACTACCTGGGCATTCCATTAACCAGGAATTGAACTTGAAAGAGACTATATATATTTACTAAGTTAACTCAGTTTCCTGGGTTTCTACAACAAGAGCCATAACTACAACAGGCTGCATGTGTAAAATTCACTCAGCCCCAAAGTCACCTGTCACATTTCAACAGAATGCATTGCACAAACCCAGTCACTGAGCATTCTTGCATCTATGCGCCTTGCGGGCCATTTCCTTGACACATGTGATATGTGGTTTTACTGTTTTCAGAGCATCATCCTTCCTGCCTTGTGAACTTTTTTGGTCTAAAATTTGTCCCAGGGAGATAGCATAATGGCTGCATTCAGACAAGAAATCAGACCAAAATGTGATGTACTTATTTGGGGTTTAGTATCTTGAGGGACCCCAGCAAGCAAGGAGAAGCAGGATGGAAGAGATGAAAGGGAATTCGATATTGATTGGTAGTGGTTTTTTGCCAGTATTTGAGCTTTAACCCAATTAGGTTTATTTAGGAGTACGTTGAATTCATCTGAATGTATGTCTGAGTAACTTTGCTTAGGATTCACAACAAATTGTGTCTGGATTGGCCCACCAGAAAAAAAAAATACACACGCATAACCAAGTATCCATAGTTGGGTTGGATAGTATTTTACTTGAGAACCATTTAAATGACCCTGCAAAGTGTGCAGGTTTTCAGGTTTTCTCACGTGTTTCCACGTAGCGTTATAAAGAGAAAGAAATATGGAAGAAGCAAGTAAGTTTGAAGTCAGTCTGTGATGGGGAACTGTAGATTAGACAGATAATGGTAGGTACTGTAATTCATCATTTCTCAGCCTCAGCAACTTTAAGATGTGAGGACTTCATGTTGGTTGGGGAATTCTAGGAGTTGAAGTCCACACATCTTAAAGTTGCTGAGGCTGAGAAACCCTGCTGCAATTTAATGCCAGGTTACCCTTTATATCAAAAGGGAAAAAAAACAGTAGGACCTCCCAGCTCGGAAAATACAGTATTATCAGACTCCACTTGAGTTTTGTTCCTCCAGTCCCCATTGACACAATTCAAACGCCTGCTAAAACAAAACCTAGAAAGAGTTTACAGAGAATGTGAAACCTTGCAGTTCTTGTGGATGGCTTTAGCTGGCCCCAGTGCAAGTTATGATGGAGATGACACTGCCTAAAGTCAATTCATGTGGAAAACACGAAAGCCTGCTGTGATCTAACGTCTTGAACCCCACGGGTCGACAAAACTGTCGCCTTCCGTGGAGAAGTGTAGTCAGCATGAAAGATCTTCCTTATTCTAAATGACACATACATGGACATAAGTCTTCATGCAGACTTCCTCAGAGATAAAATCCCCACAGAATTCTTTGTGGTTCCCTCTCTATTTCTACTGCTTACTAAAAGCATGCAACTCAGCAGAAGCCGGCATGTGCTGTATTAGATTCCTTTGTTTTGTTTTTTTAACGCCAGGTGTGGAAGGCGCAGGAAATCAACGTCATGAAACCATCCCTGCCCCCCCCACCCCCCCCGCTTTGCTTCACTAATGGATGGAAAACCCTTAACCATGACAAAGAAAAAGTCTGGGGGCGGGGAAGTTGTCTGGAAACTACAAGCAGCGGATGGAACTTTGGAGTCTATTAATTGTTCATGCATTAAGCCACGCCTCCCTTCCTTTCCTTGCACCCAATGAGGAGCGAGAGAAGCCCAACGGAGGCGGGGGCACCCTTGGGGGAGGGAGGGATGGAGGCATGAAGTTTGGAACTGGCTCATCAGAAGACACAAAAAAGAAGGTGAGTTGTTCTGTGATAGCAGAAGCGGGAGGTGAAGGCTGTTTGGCGATCAGGTAAGCTCAAATGGGCGAGAGGGTTGGAGGGAAGGAGAAAGCTGCTGTGATCCACCCTAGCTTAGGAGAGGAGGGCATGTGAGTAGGGGGGTTGGAGATCTGGTGCAGAAAGTGCTGATGTCTTCTCCCCCCATCTTCAGATATCACATTATTGATTACAAAGGGGTGAATCACCTTGTGGGGAATGCATATCAGTGGATGGCGTTTGGGTGGGTATATATGTGTGTGTGTGTGTGTGTGGAGTTTAGTGGGGCCAGAGCTGAGAGAGGGGCCTTGGGCTGTTGAGCTTAAGCGACTGTAGAGTTAGTGAGGTTCATGAGACCAGGGTATAGATTCATGGTGGCTCAATGGTAGCTAAGTAAAATAAGTCTCCCTTTCCCAGCCTGGTGCCTTTCAGTTGGTTGGACTACAGTCTCATTAAGTTTGGGCATCATGCAGGGGGAGTTTTTGCAGAGGGTTGTATGAAGCAGGAGGTGAGTGGTGGGCAGATGGGTGCAGTTGTTGTGGGGTTTAAGGGTGGTTGAGTGAATTGTTTTTGAGTGAGTCGAGCGGGAACAGGAAGGAAGGTGTAACCACTTACTGACAATCTATGGCCACACAAAATTGTAAGAAGGCATTTTAGCTGGGTTAGTTTTCTTGTGTATTTGGACAGCCCAGAGTAAAGTGTGTCTTTGAATGTGGGATTGTTGATTGTCAAGTAAGGTGGCTTGGCAGAAAATGAACATTGGTGTGCAAAAGTCCAAACGCTGCTTCTCAGCATGCATGTAGGACAGCATACTTGCCTACACAATCTCTTGTGCTGCTTTAAACATATTCTGTGGAGTTATATAAGCGGCACAGATTGCACAAATACCGCGTGCATAATGAACAACATTGTCTGAAATGTTTTATGTGAACTAGGGTGTGAACGGGTGGGAGAAAAGTCATCTCAAATTATGAACGAGACATGTCTATGAATCTAAATGAGTTGTCTTGAGTTTTACATTAGAAAATGAATGGTTTAAAGAATACAAAGTAATTGTGATGAAGAAAATTCTCCTGCAAAGAAATAAGCCGGGATTTGCAGCAGAACTGAATATATCTATTCCATATCTTTTGGGAGAAATGTGAGGGAAAAGGAAATAACAATTTAATAGTGTAAACAGATACCTTAAAGTGGGGGCAGTCTGTGGTATGTGCAACTGGCATGAGAATAAATGGGTGAAGTCGATTAGGTCATCCAGCAGAGAGTTAGATGGGTATCGACAAGAAAGCTAAAATGGCACCTCTTGAGCTTGTGTGAAACGGGGGGGAAAAATCACTTACATCAGCACCCCAGGAAGTGAGACTATCTTTCGGGGAATCTGTGACACATTAACTTCGAAACACCATGCTTCCTCTTCTGCTTTGCTCTGAGATGCCTTATGAAACTTTTTCATTAGTAGGAAAATATAATCTCTGAGGAAATTATGATGAAAGTCCCCCTAATTTTCTGAAGAACCATATCTTGTCTACATGCACCCTCCTGTTTTCCACAAGGGGGTAAAGTTTAAACTCTGGATATGAAAGTAATAGCATTCTCCTGATGTTACTCCAGCAACTCCCATCCAGTTTTTCCTCCCTCCCCCCCATATTGTAGACTCTGAATATGCTCAGATCTCATTGGGTTTTTTTGCATTTGTTTCTCCCATCTCTGAAAACAAATTAGGATCTGCTTTCCTACATTTTGTTTGTTTGTTTGGTATTTCAATAGACCTTGGGGTTCCACAAGCTTCTGATATTTTTCCTTTCTTAAGCTTGTACACTTCCACATGCAGACATACTTCGAGCTTGGTTTTACCATTAATATATAGAATGCTGTTGCTGAATATGGGAAGGTCCATATAGCTCCAATCACTGAGAACATTTCTAGGCCAGTTTCGCCACTCTGATACCCTTCTAATACGTTGGATGGGAAAAACTGGAGAAGAGAGTGGTACCTTGAGCCCTAGAGGAAAAGTGGGATAAACAGCTAATAAATTAATAAAATGGAAAAGTATGGGAGTTGAGGTCCCACACACCTGGAAGATACCAGGTTGAGGAATGCTGTTGTGGGTCTCTAAATATAATTTAACGTCTGTGAAATGACTTGGTTCAGTTGTTGAGCAATGCCTCATCCTTTGTTCTCACGGATAACTATCTTTAGGAGCATTCTCAGGATGTGTGTGTGTCAAGATCGTAGCTGCAACTGATATAAGCCCTGTCTCTTTTTCATGTCCATTATGTGCACGATGTATATAAAAAGAGGGGATGGGCTTTGATTAATTGCTAGTACCCTCTTGATTGTTTTTGACCAATTCTGTGGATGCTCCTGAACTTTACTCCTTCTATTACTTACAGACCGGATGATCAGAAGGAGAAAAACTTGTGCTCTTCAATAGTAGCTTGATGTACCTGAATGTTTCTCAAACTTGGCAATTTTAAGATGTTTGAGAAACACTGATGTACGACCAACCATCGTCTGCCATTGCTTCACCTTGAGTTGCTTTCAGAGATACAGCTGCAATAGCCAGTTTAAAAAAAAAAACTGTTAAAAATTCAGTGGAAGGGTGGGGACTGTTAATCATTTGGAAACAGATGGCAACTGTCATTGTTATTACCAGCAAACTGGGTCTTCCTTGTCAGTTAATAATGTTTTTTCACCTTTTTCAAATAATTTCCGGAATCTTGGAACTAGTTTCTATTTCCCCAGGGGCCAAGTGAGCCATTACTGTTACCTCATCCTGCAAAATTTTGTGGTTACAATAAGGGACTAGGCTCCCTTTTTAAAGAATCCCTTTTTTTTTTTTAATAAAGTCCCTCAGGGGATGGTATAGAGATCACTAATATTGATGGAGATGGAGCCTGGAAGGGGTCCCAGCTAAAGCAGAATAAAACACAATGTTTTTTCCTTCCAACAGGAAGAAGATAATGTCCCGCAAAGGATGTCTCAGTGTCACAAAATACTTCCTCTTTCTCTTCAACCTTTTATTTTTTGTGAGTACATGGCTGGGGGCCAGTTGGATAGCCAGCAAGATTAATATGATTTTCAGCCAGTTCTTGATGGGGTGTTTATGATGAAGATGTTATCTGTTCAGTTGTGTCCAATTCTCGGCGATTCTATGGACCAGCTCTCGCCACATTTTCTATCTTGTACAGCTTCTTTTAGTTATTTTATGCTCTGGCTGGTGTAGGCTTTGATGGTGTCTAGCCACCATGTTTTTTGTTTTGTTTTTTGTTTTAGATTTCTTTTATCCCGCCTTTATTATTTTTATAAATAACTCAAGGCAGCGAACATACCTAACGCTCCTTCCTCCTTCTATTTTCCCCACAACAACACTCCTGTGAGGTGAGTTGGGCTGAGAGAGAGGGACTGGCCCAAAGTCACCCAGATGGCTTTCATGCCTAAGGCGGGACTAGTTAGTTAGTCCCTAACTAGTTAGTTAGTTTCATGCCCAAGACAGGACTAGGGACTTTGGCGTGTTTATGCAGGATGGGAAAAGAGGAAAGAAGGGTTACTGTACATAAATGTATACTTTTTAAAACAATCAAACCAAAAATCTCTTCCCCTTTCTTCAGATACTTGGAAGTATCGTGTTTGGCTTTGGATTGTGGATACTTTTTGATCAAAATAATTTTGCTTCTACACTTGGTAAGTTGCAGAGGTTCTCATTCCCACTTTACATAATTGAACATTGTGCTAAACCAGTGTTTCTAAAACTTTTTGCTCTCAGGACCTCTTCCCACTCTTAAAAATTATGGAGGACCCCAAAAGACCTTTTGTTTGTATGCATTATATTTATCATATTAAAAATTAAAATGAATGCTTTTATAGAATATTTATTGAATCATGTATAAATAACAACATTAAATCCATTAGATAGCATAAATAAAATATTTTCATGAAAAACCCTATATTTTTTAACAAATAAAAAATAATAATGAGAAGAGTGACATTGTTTTAAAATTTTGCAAATATCTTCAATATCTGGCAAATAATTTTGATTTTGGTGACCCCTGAGAGGGTCTTCGCGGACCCCAGGGGTCCTTGGACCGCACTTTAAGAAACACTGTGCTAAACCATGGTTCAGCATGATTTGTTCTACAAACCACAGTGGCCTAGTTTTCACATAATATAAACTATGTAAACATCGTTTACAAAAAACAGTGGCTGAATTCATGCATCACGCTAAGCCGATTAAAAAAAAAAAAAATCTTATGGTTTTGCAAATCTGTTCTTCCCACCTTGTTTGTTTATTTGCTAGCGCTGCACGCCAGACTCATTGGGAGAGCCTTAGGCTAAGAGGGAACTGAAAATAAGCCTTCAAAAAGGCCACACCCGTTGCTTCCCAAATAATGTTGCATGGCCCTGTCAACTCCTTCATCTTCCTTTTCTGAACCCCGCAGAGAGGAAGGTTGTAGCTGCTCTTTCAAAGGACTTCTTTGGACATAAGCCAATAAACCAGGCTTGATCCCCCAAACCTTTCTGCCAGTTGAAGAATGAGGAAATAATAGAGATTGCTTATTATTATTGACTTCTTCTCCATCATCTGTACCTTTTTCTGTTCTTGACTGTTCTGATCTGTCTCTTCCTCCCTTCCCAGGGTCCTCATACTATGCTCTCAAGATATGGTCCTACGTTTTCTCTGGTGTTGGCATCCTAACCATGTTGTTGGGGTTTCTTGGATGCTTGGGCTCTCTCAAGGAAATCAAGTGTATGCTAGGACTTGTAAGTAGCTGGGTAGAAACAGGGGGTCTGGATTCTGGTACTCTCTAAGAAAGAGAAGTAGTGTTTTTTGGTTCCATCTGGTAGGGACATCATGTTGCCCCTGGCATCCCAAATGATTCCCCCTCCCATTAAATTAAAATTAAAAGAGCTTTGTAAAAACATTATAAGCATTGCCCCAAACCTAACAGGTTTTGAAAGATTTTGGTGATCTTTGCAGGATTGTGAAGTTTTGGGATGATACCACTGAAATTTAAGAAATTTGGGGAGCAATTTGAGAAAAATGCTTTGGCCACATGAGGCAAATGTGTGGGGCAGTTGTTTAGGGCCAGAAAAGGTTGCCAGCTCCTGGATTAAAGCAAGGAATTCTGGAAACTAGGATTTCTCTGGAGAATGGATCTGTAGATTAAGACAGTGTAGCAGCATGATAGTGGGGAATTCTGTGCAATTAAAGATTGGTAAGAATCATTATGAAAACCACTGAAAAAGCTGATGTACCCTATTTGGAGGGTAGAGGAATATGTTACGGCAGTGATACTTATATGCCCCTTAATTACAGGGAGAGAGCCAACGAATTTATGAATATGGGGACATTTCATCTTTATATTACCATACTGATAAAATAATGCCACAGCATTCTAGTTAATTAGTGGCTCAGCTGATCCCTCTAGGCACAGGTAGAAATTAGTGGCTCAGCTGATCCCTCTAGGCACACTTTTTAATAGCACAACACAAAAAAGGAAGGAAGGGCGACTTGTATAGTGCATAATGTGCTAGTTTCCCAAGATGCTTTTGTAGTGGGGGATGCTGAAAGATAATCCTGCTCTGCCATATCTTCCCTTTGCAGTGATATATTTGGTACCATGTGATTTAGCTGTAGATATGATTGCATTGTTTACAGCAATGGTTCCCAGTTTTTCTCTTTAGGTTAATTGCTGCATTATCACTGAAAATGTTGATAACTATCACATAGATTAGAACTTAGCAACATGGTACCTGTGAGTGCCATGGTACGTGTGACATCTCACCCCCCAGTATGGCTTTTGGGGGGGGTCTCCAAGATTAAATATTTGTTAAAAATGAAAGTAGCTGAAATCTTGCACAGTTGGCAAAAATCATGAGATTTTGATGTTCCACTTGTCCAATAAGGCAAAAGATGTTGAGATTTTGAGGTGATAACACATTGTGCAATTTGGTCATTATTTTTAAAAAGTTTTTTAAAAAAAATATTGGAGTCTACACCAAGGGCTACCTGGGTGTATCTGCAGACTTCCAGTGATTCCCAGAACATTGCTTGGCAAACTCTAGTTTATAGGTCTGCCTTTGACTGACTGACTGACTGACTGACTGACTGACTGACTGACTGACTGATTGTTACATGTAGAACACAATTCACAAAGTTGTATTGGTCCAAACCCTGAGGCAGGATAATTTTTTTTGAAAGACATAAAGTAATGAAATGTTATTTGAATTCTCTTGAATTCTTTTGGGTGCTAATCAAAAGCTTGGTGGAGGAGACATTCCTTGGTGGTAGGGTTGATTATGCAGTTTGTAACAAAGCAGTGTTAACAGGGCAATAATATATATGTTTATTCAGAACATGCTGACTTTAGTGGGATTTTATCCCAGGAAAGTAAGTCTGGCTTTACTACCATAATGTAGAATATAGGAAGCATTGCACAGACTATGATCTTTTCCCATTGCTGAACCAAAATGCTATCTATCCATCTCCAATTCAGCACTATACCAGTGGGAAATTTGTTTTGCTATAGGAAAGTATGAAGAAGAGATATAGGGAACCTACAAGCTTTATTTTATTTATTTTATTTTATTTTATTTTATGCCAAGTAAAGCAGGTTAAAACATTGTGGGATTTCCAAATACAAACTGATAAAGTCTTGGCGCATAACACACAAGATTTAACTGGTTGAAAAAAAAGAAAGTGTGGATAATTGATATGGAAATACCAGGGGATAGTAGAATAGAAGACAAAGAATTGGACAAGATCATTAAGTATCAAGATCTGAAAACCAAATCTGTATAGCTTGTGTCTGTATTTTAATAATACTTATCAAATATAGACAAGAATACAGATTAGAAATAAATTTGGCATGCTTGTTTGTAAGAAACTTGTAGAAATTGATACAATGGCAATATTGACTGATTTTGCTGACCCTTTTCTCTCTCCAATAGTACTTTGCCTTCTTACTGCTTTTGTTTGTTGGTCAAGTCACCATTGCAATCTTGATACAGACATACAGCAACACGGTAAGTTTGTCATAAACCAGAAGATTCCTCATAAGATGATCACATAGGGCTATTTCAATTTTGTTTCCTTCTACCCGGAGGACCTTTTTTTCCTTCTCATTCCCTTCTTTATTTTATTCCTAGTCTTTGATCTGGTCTACATACCTGATAAAATAGCCCTCCCCAAGATGATGCCCCTTGATTTCTGAATTCTTCTTTGCATAATCAATGCCCCACATATGCAAGGGAATCTAATGTCCTCCAGATGTTAAAAGTCCCACCAAAAAAAACATTCACCAGATTTGCTGGGTCATAAGAGATTTGTAATCAAACATCTGGAGAGAAAGGCGTTTCTAGAATAGCTCACAATAGTTCTTTGATTAGGGTATTGTTTATTGCTTGATTGTTTGTCTGGTGTTGATCCTGGTGAACTCAACCATAGTTTCAACTGGGAAATTGTCAGTATCTTAGACCAAACTAAACCCAAAAACTTGAGGGAATTCCTGGAAGCTTGGTATTCAGACAAGTCAGCCATCAACAGGCACATAGAGACAAACTACATTTACACAAAAATCTCAAAAGAGATAATAAAAAAGCTAAAAAGGAAACAAAAAGGCCAGAACACCTCCTTGGCAGCAACCAACATCCAGATACCAGGAGAAACACCAGACAATCAAGCAGTAAACAGTGACCTAATCAAGGAACTACCTACTCAGACAAACAAGCAGTAAACAACGACCTAATCAAGGAACTACCGAGGAAAAAACCACACCCCCACCAACACTGACAGGGCAAGCTACTGTATATAAACAGAGAGCAAACCCCACTCCCTTGTAGCACTGAAGATGTTACCTAGTTGGGTAACAAAACGTCTGCAAAAAAACAACCAAGCTCAGAGCACAACAAGGACTCCACAGGCATACCTCTCTCTAGAAATAGGTGTGATGTGTGAATTTTTTTCTTTCTTTCTTTTTTTGCTGGTCTCAAAAGTTCTGCTTTCGCCACCCTTTTGCCTCTAGCTTACGCTCCAGCCAAAGTTGGCTTTATCTCTCTCCTGTTCTTTGTGCAGGCTTTGATTTCTTTAAAATCTTTTATCAGCATGCTTATGTTTATGCCTTTAATAATTAGTTTGGTGCCTTAACAAAACTAATTAAGGCTTTGGGTTAAAGTCTTACGTTACACAATGAGTAAGAGACTAGCTCTCTTTCTGGAAGGGCCAGGTGATCAGCAACTCTGTATGGCCTGTTGAGAAGGTGGGAGAGATTTGGCTTTACAGTTAGTGTAATCACTGTTCTCCACAGCTGGCTTCTCGTGGAAAAGAAAAACTGGTTGCACTTGGTTTTTCAAAGAAAAGTCGGCACCTGGTTTTCTGTGGTTGAACCAAGCCCATCTATAAATTAAGACTTGCCTGCCTCCTATACAACCTGGGAGGACTCCAGGAGAAACAGGATGCTGATCCGTCACTGAAAGGCACACCTTTATTTTTACATATGATATGAATAAAGAGCCTACGTAAACTTGCTTTTCCTCCCACACGCAGATCAGTTCAACAGTGGCTGAACATGTAAAAACCGTAATTGCAAGCTATGGAACAAATGCGTCCCTCCCAGATCATGGTGACAGCTGGGATTTTGTGCAAGAGCAGGTAAGGTATCTTCCTGCTGTGTCACTGTAGCAGTAATTCTAGTTTTAGATCCTTTAGCTCCACTGATGTGATGTGTTTGGGGCCAGATTTGGCCATACATAGCGTGGCTCACCTAATGTGCTAAGCCGTAAGGTGGTTCGGTAACATTTGGCCTGGTGTGCTGGGTGGACCCAGCCATATGGCTTGAAAGTCATGATATGTGAATTCAAAAAATTCTGGTTTCTTCAATAAAATTAAAGCCATGTTGTAGCATGTTGTCAGCATGTTGTAGCCATAGAGTCAACCTGCTGAACTTAGTTCATTCATCAGGTATCTGGATGCCATATTTGTTCATTGTATATATAGCCTGCTTTTCTTCCATGTTGGAACTCAAGTTGGCATAGATAAGAGGTTTTATGGAGTCTCCCATTTAGGCATGGACCTTGCTCATATCTGCTTAGCTTCAGGAAAGTGGTTCATCATGAGGGACCTGTGCTGGGTCTTTTCCTCTAGTAGTTTTATCTGTTGCAGGACAAAAAGCAATGGCTTTCTTAGAATGGAGGATTTGAATACCCAGATGGGGAAGTTTTCTCTCTTATTTCCAACCATCTTCTGCTTCTCACTGTTTTCAATCCATTGCCTTTTTCTTAGTTCCACTGCTGCGGTTGGACAAGCTGGACAGACTGGATGGAAAACAGCAGAGTCAGAAATGCCTCAAATAAATTGTATCCCTGCTCCTGTCATAACATCTCTGTTCTGCACCCAGCCAGCAACGTAACTGCCAAGCCTGCCCTCTTCTGCGAAGCACAGGGACAGTTTCCAACCTACAAGAAAGTGAGTAGCCCACATATTGTTCTTGGGCTGGGGGTGCATGCAGTGCAGCCCAGCCCCCTCGGGTACTATGGTGATGGTTGCACACCTACGTTGACTTACAACAATTTTTTAAAACTTGGCCCAAATCCTGTGGGGGACAAAAAAGTCATGAAATGTCAGGATTCTTCAAGAAATCTCTGTGTCAGCCAGTATTTGTATGCAAAAATTTTAGGCAATTTTTTAAAAGGGGACAGGGAGGCAGACAAGCTATCGTGTGATGGTGTCTGAAAAGGTTGCCAGTCCCTGCTCATTAGGGAGAAGAAGAGGGAAAGTTACATTTTGTGCAAAAAATATTAAGTTTGCTGTGTTCATTCTCCTGTTTAGTTTCTGAAAAGAAATGACTTAAGGGACAAGCAGGTATGGCAGATTTTTGTAAAATGATACATAGGAAGGAGAGAGTAGATAAAGCAGCTTGTTCCAATGCATTTGGGAGATGCCAAGTTGGAAATTGTAATAGTTCTTCCAGTTTGGGCCCTTGACCAAAATAGGGTGTTGATTGACTGATTGATTGATTGATTCCAATTTTGAGGCTGCCCAATTCTTTGGCCACTTCGACTAGCTTACAAATAAACAATACATATACAGTGGTACCTCGGGTTACGATCTTAATCCGTTCCGTGACTCTGGTCGCAAC